ATAGCCAGTTTTTCGGAAGACGTTCAACCAATGATAGTTCTATTTGATTTAGAAACTAGTGGCTTTCGCAAAACTGCAGACATTTTACAAATAGCTGCTAAATTCGGTGAATTAGAGTTTTCAACGTATATACGACCAAGTGAGGCTATTGACGAAAAATCAAGTCAGATTCATGGATTGCGTTACATAGATAATCATTTAGAATGTAATGGTAAAATGGTCGAAACAGTTTCACTTACTGAAGGTATAATTGGATTTTATGAGTTTCTTTACCACTTGAATAGAAAGTGCATTTTAACAGCACATAATTGCAAATTCGATTATCCGAGACTTATTCTTGCAATAAATAAAGTCTTCATGATAGATCGTTTGTTCAATCAGTTGTTGAAGGATTTTCTGATTCGTTACCACTTATTTCTAAGCATAATAAGGAGAAGGGCAAGGGTGCAAATAAACTAGTCAATCTGGCTGCTACTTGCAAAATAGAAACTGAAGATGCTCACAATGCAATTGCAGATGTTAGAATGTTGCAAGGTATTTTATTCCACTTTGAAATAAATGATAAAAGTCTGATAGAATCAGTTCTTACGTGGGACATGTTAGATCAAAAAGAAGATGAGAAAAAAAAGAAAAGGCTAACAAAGAAAATGTTTTGCAAAAACTAAAGGCATTCGAAAAATTGAAGAATAACAACTAGTCAATTAGAATGAAAAAAAAGATTATATCTGCTAATATTAGTTATGAAATAATTGAAGCAGCTTACAATAAAAATAAATTCGATGGCCTTTATCAACTACTATCCAAAGGACAAGTTACTAAAAATAAAAAAGTCATTAGAAAGATAAGCGATTATCTAGATTCTGTGATTAATAGTGATAAAAATAATAACAACTATATTAATCAAGTTGTTACATGAATAAAATAACTAGATTCTGTGATTAATAGTAATGAAAATGATAAAAACTATATTAATTAAAAGATATTACACGAGTAAAATAATTTGAATACTGTTGTGTATTTATAATAGTTTGTGATTATAATAAATATAATGTTTATTGAATTTATCGATTTGTTATTTTGTTCATACAAGGTTATAAAATGATTCTTGCAACTTTCAAACGAAAAATTGAGCGAGATGCGCAGTTGAAAAGCTTAAAAAATCCGCGCTTCAACGTAGCACGTGGAAATAATGCGACGTTGCCACATGTTCAATTCTCAGCTGTTATTTCTAAATTTCCGATACAAATTATTCAATAACTTTTTATACAGGTTGTGATTGGTAATTTTGAAGGCAGCTATGGGTTTCTTATTTTTTTCTACGTACCTCAAAATTTTTTCAGAATTTTCTTAATTTTAAATATCTTTATAATCTACAAAAACCTTTCCCCATAAGATCACATGTTATTTTTAATCATTAATATCTCGGGTTTGATGCTTTTAAGGGTCACGAAACTTGAACCATAGCTTAAGTAAGCTATAATACGCGCTTTGTCAAAGTTACAAGTAATTCTTATTTTTAATAGTCTTATCCACCATACTCCCTTAAATTTCAAAAATTAAAAGCGTTTTGTCCTTAGTGTTGGATTATAGTGTTCATTTATTCTTTCACGGGTCGTCCGTGACATCCGATATCTCGTTTCCCGAGTCCGCGCCGCTTTTTCTTTTCCCACCGCATCTTGCTTTTTGCCTGGATTTCTATTACCGTGGATGTGGCCGATTTTCGGGTTGGCTTCGCCGTACTCTTGCAGACTGCATTCGCGGCTAACATACTGTCCGCTGCGGGAGGTAGTCACCGACTCTTTTTTCTTTTGCATTAACTCTCAAACGCGCGTTCTGCCAGCTTCAGCTTTCACAGGAAGAAAAACTTCTTTTAATCGAACGTAGGGTGCAATTCCTCTAAATACCACGGCTTGATTCGAATCTGAGGAAACATGATTGAACCGTCGGATGATGCACTAAAAGGCTGTTAAATAGTTACCGAGACTCTTCTTCTGCCGATCTTACCATTACTAATCCGAGCACTTAATCCCTCTGCTACGAAAAATAATCAAAATAAAACATATAATCTGATGTACATATACATGCACATATATATGTATATATAAAGCCGCTTCAGGTGACTTTTTATAAATTTAAAAAAAGTATATAGATTAGTATAAATTAATATAAATAATTAATCTATAATAAATTGAAGATGTATAGAGCAAATATGACATCTCGATCATCAACAGATACAAACGACTTGGAATCTATAGGCCTTCTAAACCGGCTATACGTTGGAAAAAAACTATAAATCATTATCCAGAAAAAATAACAAATAAATCACTGCAGTTTAAAAATTTTTATCGACGATTCATATCTTGCAAGAAGACCATTTCCGTAATACATAGAATAAGTATTAGAAAAAAATGTTACTCAAGTCGTCGGAACAGTCTAAAACAGCCTTATATAATGAATATAAAATATGCTTTTTGAAACTAAATTGTGATATCAATATCTCGCAGACTAGCGCATTTACAAACATTATTTACAACATAACGCGATATCTAATAATTTTGAATATGGTGGTAGAAAAATTCGTTGCTGAAGTCGTCGAAATCGGATACACCTATATTATATTGTGCAAATATAACGTTTTTAAAACTAATTCGTGATATCAACATCCCGTATAACTGCGAATAGGTGAACATTATTTACAACATAGCGAAATATTTAATAATCTTGGATATGGTGGTAGGAAAATTCGTTTAAAAAGTCGTCGGAACTGGATCCTTATATAATCCATTTTATAATCCTTGCCCCTTTAAGTTCGACGCCATTGTCGTGAGTTGAGAGCGAGCATAGCTAATTCATGACGTAGCTACACTCGACCATGTTTACAAGAGGCATTGCAGTAGGTTTTGGAAAGAGAGGAAGAGACAGAAAATCATGTAAGTGTGAACCCGTATGATGGGTTCCGTGTGGCTAGTTCCGGCGGGAGAGAGGCAGTCAGAGTTCGTGCTTCTAAGCGATCGACCTTGTATCGATTGAGATACTCTCGTTGCATTCGCTGTCTTGCGTTTGTGCATGAAGTCCTTCAGCTGTTTCTGCGTTTGTAGTGGGCCGTAGATATTAAGAGACGAATATGGAGAGGCTTTGTCATACCTTTATTCATCTGCTGTCGCTGCATTAAAAAAGGTTAGTAATTATCTAGTCACAACGTCGTCGCCGGTAATCACCGGTCGCGTGAGCTCGAATTTAGCGATTTTCCGTCTGAATCTGAGTAAACAAAGAAAAAGCTTTCTCTCACAGATTATTTCGTGTCATAAATAATTAGCAGAGGTTTCTGGCAATCTACCGTCGAAATCTTATGCGAAATTACGCGATTAATGTATTTAAATTGTAATAGCGAACCGTGGCTAATGGACAACAGTGTGTGATATTTTTAAGAATATAGAGTTAATACAATTTCAATGTATTCAATGACTATGCCCAACCTTTCCTTTAATTCGAATTTACTCGTATAAGTTTTGCCCACTTAATTTTAGAAGCGATTGCGCCTTTCCAACTCGCGACTTTAAAGAATTAGTGATACAATTATTCGGGCAATTTTTTGGATAGAAAAAGCAGTAACAGTATTACATGGCATCCCTTGTAGTTCGGACAGGCTAACTTATGTGGCATTTTTTGTGACTCGGACGAGCTAGCTTACATAGAAATAAATTTTTTTTTCTCGTGATTTGATTAAGCTAGAAAACGAGTTAATTTTCGAAATAAGTATGAAAGGTAAAGGGCATTCTTTCTCTTTTTTCTTTGTAATGGAAGTACTTATCGGCTGTGAAATTTAAAAATTTAGAATTTGCGTGTTAGTGAAAGGTCATAATTGTTGAGAGAACATAAGCCTAGTTAAGTTAAGCCTTTGATTTGTTTTGAAGTTGTGGGTACTGGCTGGCAAGACGTATACTCGCCGGCGAATTTCAGCTCAAGAATTTTCAAAATTTAAGAGACATCGCGGTGTTGCCGGCGCGTTGTGTGCACACAAGTAAGTGAGCTAAAGTAAGCATGTATGTGTGAGTGATGAGTAGCTATCGCGCGGCAGGATCGCGTTTACAACGCAGTACAAGTTGATTGCTTGAGTTTTCATAAATGTTGTTTGTTAATGAAAGTCTTGCAAATGTTGCCTTGGGTGTATCGAGGGTAAGTAAATTGCACACGTTCAGCTTAATTGATTATAATGAATATTTATTAAGCTTAATAATCACGAATGCTTCATTCCGATATTTACAAGTGCTGTCTATTACACGTGCTCCCTCTCTCTCTCTCTTTCGGCGTGCATAGCTCTGCTCTCTCGCGCAGTCGCTCCGCGCACGCTCTCTCTCTTTGCCTCACACATACTCGCACTCTAGCACTCCGCTTGACACTCACATGCTCTCTCGCTCAGCCTCGCACACACGCCCGCTCTCTCCCATGCTCTACACTAGCTTAATATACTACAACTCTCCCCTCTCTTTAAACATCAGTTTTATTTAAACGAGGAGAGCGTCTGAGACCAACGTCCCTTTTTATAATTTGGTCAGTATGTCGCTTATGTACATGTCCATTCTTATCTCTAACTACAAATGTAGACGGCGAAAGTTGTTTTACAATCTCAGTCTCAATGCGCTTATCAGATGGCTGGCTTTATGCCTATGTTTCTGCGACCTGCTCTCGCCACTATTTGGGCACGTTGATGTTTTTCAACTATTTCGCTTACGTTAGGACGCAGCAAATCAAATCTAGTTCGCAATTCTCTTTTAAACGTTAGATGAGCAGGACTTCTGCCAGTGGTACAGTGCTCGATGCTTCTGTAGTCAAAAAGAAACATGGAAATTGCATTATTTACGCTCTCTCCCCCTCGAACAATTTTTTTAACTTTGTCTTTAAAAGTGCCCACGAAATTTTCAGCAGCACCATTTGTAGGTGGGTGATGAGGGGGACTGAATGAGTGTTTCACTCCATTTTCGTACAAAAAATTTTGAAATTCAGCGCTTTTGAATTGTGGCCCCCCATCTGTGACGCAATGCAATGGGAAACCATGTCTCGCAAATAAACACAAACTCTTTAACTACTTTATGCGCTTTAGTATTTGTGTTGAAATTTATAATTTCTGGCCATTTAGAATATGAATCCATTATTAACAAGTACATTTTACCAAATAATTCTGCGAAATCACAATGAATTCTAGACCAGGCTTTGTCTGGGTAAGGCCATGTAGTTAGTGGAGTCTGAGGAGGCTTCTTTCTTTCTATCATATAGATATCACAATTTTTTACTAAATTTTCTATATCTTTATCTATACCTGGCCACCAAACGTATGATGTAGCAAACATTTTGATTTTGACTATGCCCAAATGAGTCGCATGTAACTCTTTTAATATGATTTCTCTCATACTTTTTGGTATAACTGCTCTTAATCCCCAAAATAAACATCCTTTTTCTACCGTTAATTCCATTCTTTTGTCAAAGATACTTTTCATTTCACTGGACATATTTTTATCTTTTGGCCATTCAGACATAACAAATTTAATCACTGACGAAAATAACCTATCTTTTTTGCTTTCTTTTTCTAGCGTTTTGTAATTGTATGAAATTATTCCATTATCAAAAAAGTTTACATAAGAGAAATTTGAATTTTTTAACTTAATATTAGAGTCTACTGGTAATCTCGAAAGTGCATCACAGTTTGCATTGGCTGCTGATTTAATATGTTCAATTTCATATTTAAACCCTGACAAATAGTAAGCCCATCTTTGCAATCTATTATCTGCAGTCTGCGGTATGCCCTTTCGAGGTCCCAATATCCAAGCTAACGCACTGTTATCAGTTCTTAAAATTATACTTTTTCCAAAAATAAATTGATAAAACCTTTGAAATCCAAAAACAATTGCCATCGCCTCTTTATCTAAAATCTTTCTATTTAGTTCATATTTTGGAATTTTTTTGGACGCATAAGCAATGGGTCTTTCTTCTCGATTTGAATACTTATGAGATAATATTGCTGATAATCCATAGTGTGACGCGTCGCAAGCTAGTACACTTTTTCTTTTGGGTCATAGTTGACCAATACTCTTGGAGAAATGAGCTCCTCTTTGACCCATGTAAACGCTCTATCACATTCTGCGTTCCATACAAATTTGTTTTTGTGTGACAATTCGTACAGTGGTCTTAATCTATGTGATCTATTTTCTAAAAACCTAGCATAAAAATTAATTAATCCTAAAAATGATTCTAATTCTTTTTGATTTCTCGGCTGTGGAGCATCTACCATTGCTTGAACTTTGGATTTTGCTTTATGAAGTCCGTTTTTATTTACGACAAAACCTAAAACTTCTAGTTTATCCTTCATAAAAAAACATTTTGACAAGTTGAGTCTTAGGTTACAGTCTTGTAGTCTCTTACAAACTAAATCCAAGTTGCGTCGATGCTCCTCATCCGTTTTACCAGTGACGTAAATGTTGTCAATATACGCTATTACTCCATCTAAACTACTCAAACATTCATCCATTTTCCTTTGACAATCCGGAGGTGCTGTAGCGACGCCCTCGGTTAACTTATTATATCTAAACATGCCCTTATTTGTAACTATGGTAAGTAATTTGGAGCTTTCCTCATCGACCGGGAATTGCATGTATGCGTGCTTTAAGTCCAATTCATTGAATTTGCTTCCACCCTGTAATTTAAAAAAAATGTCGTCTATTATATGCAACCCATATTTATCACTTAATAAATGCTTATTTATTGTTACTTTAAAATCTCCACAGATGCGAATTTTACCGTTATCTTTGAAAATTGGTACAATTGGTGTTGCCCATTCACTTACTTCCACTGGCACCAAGTATCCCAATTTCATTAATCTTTCTAATTCTTCTTCAATGAGTGGACTTAACGCGTGCGCTACATGCCTATATTTCATTGCAATAGGTTTGACATTTTTTTCTAAAACCAGTTTCGTTTTGCTTCTATTATATTCTCCCGGTGTATTGCTAAATAATTTTGTGTATTTTTTACTTAAGTCTTTTGCTACATTTTCAATATTTAAATTATAAATATTATTTTTACCGTTACGTAACTGCAAAGGCCAGTAGTCGAATGCCGCCAGCCATTGTCTGCCTATCAATGCTGGTCCATCGCCTGCTAATACAAAACATTCTAATAAACATATCTTGTTATTAATTTTGACCTCTAAGTTTAAAAGTTTTCCAACAGGCAACAAAATATTTTTGTCATAGGCCATTAATCTTTTATCTGTTTGTACTAACTTATAACTATTAAAAAATTTTCTATAGTTTTTCTGACAAAACAGTAACAAAGGTGCCTGTATCCATCTCCATACGAATTTTTATATTATTAATTGTTACATCAACAAACATTGGTTTGCCGTCTCTATCCCTATAGCACTTTTGCTCTGCTTTTACATTTACAACATTTTTCAATACCTTGTCGTGCTCTGCATCTCGCAAACAGTAGAAGGTGGATGCGTGGTCGCTGTGCGTGCTTGCATCGTCCTCTTCTGCTTCTTCTTCGCTCGATCCTTGCAGGCATTGCACTATACGATTTTTCGAACTAACATCTTTGGAATTTTTGCATACTGCCTTGAGATGCCCTTTCTTCTTACACCCATGGCAGACACTGTCTTTGAACTTACACACCGGTTTTGTGTGACCCTGCTTTCCGCAGAAATAGCATGTTAGTTCGGAATAATCTTTTTTTGGAGTTAATCCTCTTTTTCGTCTTTCCAATATTTTTTGTTACCATTTCTTATCGCTAAGACTTCATCTGCACTGGTATTTTCTGACTTTAAAGCGTCTAGCGCCTGGTTTGGATTATTTGTAGCCATCTCGCCCGCTACTGCTTCCTTCAGGGCTGAATGGAATGTTAATTTTTCTTGTTTGAACAACTCCACTCTAGTTTCGTGACTTCTCAACCCGCACGCAAACTGGTCTCTGAGAGCGTCATCCAAATTTTTATCAAAATTACAGTGCAAAGCTAAGCCTCTCAATTTAACTGCGAACTTTGCTACCGACTCCGAATCACCTTGACTGGCTTTATGAAACTTGCATCTTTTCATAACCTCTGACGGTTTCGGGTTTAGGTGATTTTGCATAAATTTCAGAAGGTCATCAAAACTCATGTCTTTAGCTTTTTGCGAAGCCACCAATTGTTTAATCAATTGGTATGCATTTGCGTCAAGCCTAACCAACAAGTGCGCGGCTTTTCATCTTTAATATCTCTTGTAATGAAGAGTAATTCTAACTGCTCCGTAAAAGTCTCCCAATTGTCGGTGTTTAACATAAATTCGATTTTTACCCCGTCCGACATATCGTTACCGTGCAAGTTTTCACTTATTAAAATTTGATTCTTACTTGATTCACCTTGGTTTTCCTCTGAATTTTCTTGCTGTTCTTTAATGCTCTTTTTCAGCAGTAATCTTAGCGCCTCAAATCTTGAATCTGGGTAATAGAATATACCTCGTCTGTCCAATTCTTCCAGTAGTTGGTTTTTGTTCAAAGAGTGCGCCCAGCTCAATGTTTTTTTCTGTTCTGACATCAAGAATGTCTGCTTTCCTATGCAAGTACCTTCCTACTTGCACAACTAGTCTAACCTTACTACACCGTGTCGTGTTGCCTTGCCTATTACTTACACTGGTAATTGGCACGCAGAAAAAATTATGACAGCCAAGTACCTTCCTACTTGCTGTTTTCTGCACACGAAGACCCCGAGCGCGCACTTTTTGCCAGCTCGCCACGTGGTGAGCATCTACCCTTTACGTTTATAATCTTAATTTTTCACTTTAATCCTCGTCGCCATTTGGGTGTATCGAGGGTAAGTAAATTGCACACGTTCAGCTTAATTGATTATAATGAATATTTATTAAGCTTAATAATCACGAATGCTTCATTCCGATATTTACAAGTGCTGTCTATCACACGTGCTCCCCCTCTCTCTCTTTCGGCGTGCATAGCTCTGCTCACTCGCGCAGTCGCTCCACGCACGCTCTCTCTCTTTGCCTCACACATACACGCACTCTAGCACTCCGCTTGACACTCACACGCTCTCTCGCTCAGCCTCGCACACACGCCCGCTCTCGCCCATGCTCTACACTAGCTTAATATACTACATTGCCGATTTTCGGAGTTGTATCTAATTGTTTTTTTTTATTATTTAAGTAAGAGTGTGGCGATAATCGCTAACTCGTTACACCTTTTAGATAAATTTTGCTAAAAGTGGGATAATTAGTGTCGTGTGCATGGAATTAGCATCACATCTCTTTCGTATATATGCGTCGCATTCTGAAGGACGCGGCAGTAAAAGCACTCAAGAAACGAATTGACGAGACTGGACCCGCGGAATTAATTAACTTAATGAGTTTGAAAGCTTAGTATGCTTGGTACTTTGGATAAACTTCGTGATCATTAGTTGCGATTCATGGTAGCGCGTGAAAAATCTGATCTGGACCCGCTGTTACATCCGACCAATCTTGCGTCGCGTGAAATTCCCGAGTTTCCGCTGAAGACTTTCATCGATGAACAGCTGGCATAACCTTTCTTTTAACTCGAATCCTACTCGTGTAAGTTTTGCCCACTTAATTTTAGAAGCAATTGTGCCTTCCGAGCTCGCGACTTTAATGAATTAATGATACAATTATTCGCGCAATTTTTCGGATAGAAAAAGCAATAACAGTATTACAATTCTTATAGCATGAGTACATGACATTCTTTTTAAAACTAATTCGTGATATAAATATCCCGTAGTACTGCGAAGTTACGAACATTATTTACAAAATAATGAACTATTTGATAATCTTATATATGACAGTAGGAAAAATCGTTTCTAAGTATAGAATAGCTTTATTATAGCCTAGATAGTTGATGTCACCATAAGTCATTCTAATGCAATTTTGTTGTGCTATTGCCTTGCCTGGGGCTGACTCAACTTTATTTGTTATTGCTTTAATGTTATTAACTTCAGCTATTTGGTCAATTATATCAAACACCTTTTCTATAGGATTATATTTTGTAATGTTTTCATCAGGTGATAATCCCGGTTCTGAGTGTAGTTCTTTTAAAAATGTTATTGGTATAAAACCCTTAATCTAGGGTTTATAGGAGTCGTCATTGTTTGTATCTAGTATAGTTTTATTGATTTTCATATTTGTAATGCGGTACATTACAAGGCTTTGCCTGAGAGTGTTGCATTATTTGCAACACCTCAGAAAAGCCATCTCCGTCTCTTGTCACGCCGTAACCAGCCGGATAATTATAACCTATGCGCGCCCTAATTCGTACAATAATTCTTTTTCATATCCGTCTACCCAAACTCGAGAAAACGATGTAACAAGTTGAAGAACGCGATCCAATGGATGACTGAAAAATGGATCGCAAGGTGAGGAAAAAGAGAGCGCACGCACACATACATACTCCCGACCACGTGTTGCCGGCTGGAAAGAAAAACACCAAAACTTAACTGGGAAGTGCGGCGGAAATGCATGATAGCGGTATATGCATATCCGTTACACTCCCCAACACTGACACAATCACTCTGGAGATGCTGGCACATCTGGGGCGAACAGAAAGTCGTCGATGAAGCGGCAGCCTGCAATCAGCTGTGTCAGGCTACTGCGTACCAGCGGCGACATCCTCAGCGCCACACACACTGATACTGCTGCCGATCACTGACAACACCCGAAGACACACACACACACACACAACACTCAAGCACACACTTGTATCACACAACCAAAGCGGAGCGCTCCAGGAAGCGCTTTGAAGACCGGCAACAAAGCACGAGGTTGACACGCAGGAGCAAAGGCGGCCATCTTGAAGAGTGGTACAGACAGGATGAGAGCGAGCGAGACAGACTAAACAAGAGCGAGCGCGGCAGACTAAGTGAGGGCGAGAGAGATAGACCATATGAAGGGAGCGAACTAAAATGAATACGATACAGATTCAAATGCAAATACAATGATGAGGGCGCTACGAAAATAAGACCGACTTATAATTATTTTATCACTACAAATAATTTAGCGATGCGACTTATACATGGAACATATTAAAATATAAAATTAGAAATACTTGTATGCGGCCGCTATAATCCCTTAAATGTATTAATAAGCGACTAACAATCTGACGAATTAAATTGATAAATTAATTGATGAAATTCGAAACTCTGACGAAACTCACTGATGACGTCACGACAAATAAGCGAATTATAATAAAATTTGATTTCCGTCCGCATCGAACAATAAATAAGAGTAGGGGTAAATCTTTCTCATCAATCAATGCTAGCCGACTAACAAGGAAACCCCCCCAACCCGACCTCACCGATTTCAATAATCTTTTGATATGTTATAGTTCATCAAAAAATAAGACATACGTATTTTTTTTTATCGGCGGAAAAACACTTTGAGGGGGTGAAAACAACCCCCAAAGTTCACCCCCAAAAATAGATTTTCCAATGTATCTCAGCATCTAATTGATATTTTACGACCAAAAAAATTTCATATCACTTCTCATGTGAAAAGCAAACTAGCACATGCAATTCTGACCACAAGGGATGCAACCCTTATTTTTTTTATTTAAAATACTATCTATTTCATGGCTATTTTTATGAAAATAATTAAAATAACCCGAAAAAAATTGGAAAAAATATTACCCTACATAAAATACAAAAATAAAGTTAATCTATTCAAGCTTTTTTTCAAACTACTCCCTTAAAGTTGAAAAACCACCCCTAAAAAATTGTTTTCAATACATTACAGGTGGTGTTGATAAGTTAGTGTAAAATACGTTAAGCATCATTTATACTGTACAAACACAACTATCTCGTGCAGTTTCGACCACAAGGGTTGCAACCCCTAATTTCTGTCATCGAAATTTTTACCTTCTTTGTACCTATTTTTGAAGAAAAGTTCATAATGAGCTTAAAAAAATTAGACAAAATATTACCATGGATAGAATAAGAAAAAAAAATTTACTTCTCATTTTTAAAACCACCCCCAAAAAATTGTTTCCAATACATTATAGGTCCTGTTGATAATTTACTGTAAAATACGTTGCTCATCACTTATAATGCACAAACACATTTATCTCGTGCAGTTTCGACCACGAGGGTTGCAACCCCTAATTTATGTCATTGAAATTTTTACCTTCTCCATTCCTATTTTTGAAAAAAAGTTCATAATGAGCTTAAAAAATTGGAAAAATTATTATCGTGGATAGAATACGAAAAATATGT